AAAGGTATGAACCCTCTTCTTCTCCCTCCAGCTATGGGTAAATAGCAGGACAGACTGGGTTCTATAGCCTTGGATGGCAACTGGTCTGGGAGAAGGACAAATGAATGCAGAAACCTACTGAGGGACTTTTTGAGGACCTTGTGGCACGTAGTGCACCAGGTCTCTGTATTTGGCCCTTCGAAAAGTGTGGTTGGTTCTGCACAAAGCCTTCACCACTATAATCAAATCTCATGTGCTGATGTCGAGCTGTCGTTTCCGAGGAACTTAGCTGCTTGACCCTTATACGTTGAATACGACGGAAGAGTCTACCATATATATTAATGAAGACAATAGGAAAACTTATCTTAGCCAATGCATTTCGATGGACTTTTTCAAAGCAAATGTAAGGGTTTTATTTTGCAATATTTATTTATAAACAGAAGTAAAAATGTCGTTAGTTTTTCAGAATTTTAAATTTAAGAACGCTCATAAATATACATCAGGCTAACTGAAAGTCAAAGTAAATTATGGAAGACGCTAAGTGACGTAATTTAATGATTAATTAACGTAAGTGAGTAAATATTGTTACTGTCGTTATTAAATATTGTATATAATAACTAAGAAATTAATTTATATATTATATATTTAAAATAATAGAAGGTTCTGAATTCAATCCTCTTCTTTTTTCTTTTCCTTTCGTCTTTATTCATATTGTTTTTTACAGACATATCTTATATTATATATATATATATATATATATATATATATATATATATATATATATATACGTCGAATTCGACGAGAGAGTCGACTATATATATATATGGTAGAAGTCCATTCGTGAAAGAGTAAGAAAGACCATCTCTTGCTCTTAAACCTTCGTATATTTTCACACATTTTAACTATCATCACTTCGTTGTTGATGACATCTCAAATGGATTTTAAGACCTGCAAGAGTCTTGTAGATCTTCCCACATTGCGGATATATCAGTCTTCCTGTTGGAGCTTGACTTTCTGGATGCTGGCTTTGCGAATGTCGTGTGAGTCCGCTTGCTGATCGACACACTTTATAGCAGAGTGTACATGTATAATCATTAGGGATGTATGATCATCTGTAACGTCATATTGATAGTTCATATCACGATATATATATATATATATATATATATATATATATATATATATATTATTATTTTAGGATATTAAACCGAAAACATAAGAATCGCTACACAATTGCAGTCGTATTTCAATGCGTATCAATGCATCTCATCAGGCTATCGGCATTGAAACGCACTAAAACACGACTGCAATTTTGTAGCGATTTTTACATGTTTTGGTTTGATATCCTAAAATAAATAATATTGCTCTACTCTGTATTGAGCCATCTTTTAAATTAAATGTTATGAACGTTGGAATTGTACTGTATTTAATTTCATCATACCTGGATAATATATATATATATATATATATATATATATATATATATATGTTTGTATATATGTTTGTATATATGTGTGTGTGCGTGTGTGTGTAGAAAGAGAGAGAGAAAGACATTAACAAACGTGTACATATGATTTTTCACTTTTTTAAAAAAATCAATAATGCACTCAGTACAACATCTGTGATTTGATATGATGATTAATGACATTGAATATTACATTCATAGCCATTACCAATTTTTGAGCATTTAGGTTTAAATGTCGTCTGGGAAAAAAGGACAAAAATACTTAATTTCCGCAGGTTTTTGCTTACAAAATGACTTAAAAATTTTACTATTTCAAAAATAAATACAAATTTTTTTGTTTGATTTTTTTGTATTAGATACATTGAATTGAAAATATATTCAAATCAGAATTCTAATTTTGAATCCTTACAATCAAAATATGCATATTTTCCCTGTATTCATAAAAATTTTATTTTTACTACTTTAAAAATGTTAGCCTTGAATAAATCTTTAATCGTCTCGGTTGTTTTTTAGTACACGTTCTTTTGAGAGAAGTGTGTTTTTATGAAGGCCAGGAGGTTTGTGTAAAAAAAATTTAAACTTGTATATGTTTTTGGGATTCAGCGGTTAAAAACCGCCAAAATTATGAAGTATCCATTTCAATGGAAAATTATTTTTTTGTATATACTGACCAATGAAAGACGTGGTAAGAACCCGAATGGAGGATTTCTGCGAGCCTATTTTTCGGAATAAATAGAACTCAGGTCAGTGGATGAAAAAGAAGACATTTTGACAGTAAGGGGAAAAGGAAAATCAGCATCAAGGAGCAGAAGGCATTTGACATTAAGAAGAGAGCATCAAAAAGGTACGAGTTATCATCCAGTTGCAGGGAACCTTGAAGTTTACAAGGGAAAATTCTTCTGTGGTTGGACTAGAAAGAACGAAAAGATATCTAAGAAATTTTCCCAAAGCCCAAACAGTGTGAATTTAGAAAGAACGCTTGTAGAGGAAGTAAAAAAATAGGTGTTTTCGTTTGTTTTTTTTTTTTTTGTTTTTTTTCTGAAAGGTGGTTGTCCCTTTGCTTTGCTGCCTTCTTGAATTGTTTCTCATGTTATGGAATCCTTGTCTTTAACCAAACTGTGACCCCTTTTTTTCCATTTTTCGATGGTAACCCTTTTTATAAAAAACTGTTATCCTGCCTTAATAGGCGTAAAAGGGGAAATTATTGTGCAAATTTTGTATTTCTACTCTTTTTGCTTTTACTTGTGTAATAAATGTTTCCCTTTAAGATTTTATGCAGTGGTTGTGTCTTATTTTGTGATTTGCGCCAATTTTAACTTCAAGGTGCAGGAAAGCACGAGTTCTCTTTTCCTTTTCTATTCCTACTAACAAGGTTTTCGTATTTGGCACACAAGACTTAATAGGAATAAAAAAATATATATATATATATATATATATATATATATATATATATATATATATATAAGGAAAACTGTCAAAATTGTAAATGATTACAAAAAAGACTAATCAATGAATAAGATCTTGCACAATTTTTAGGCTCTAATTAATAAAAACAAAAAATAAAAGCGTATATAACACCATATGTCGAACACAAATTATAAAACAAAATGTTTTAAATTTTCATTCTTTATTGAATCTCACACTAAATTACTGCACTGTATAGCATATTACATCATAATATAGTTAATTGTTCAGTATAATTTCCCTTTGGCGTAAATAAAGGTCTTCCTTGATGGCACAATGATTTAATAATAATGTGCTTATGTCTTGCTTCTTTTTCCATATACAATTTGTGAAGCTTCAGGAGTTAATTTAACTGCTCTTTCCACATTTTGCGAATGTGCAGGCAAATTTGGCAACCCCAATAATGTTCCATTCATTAGAATCTCTTGTAGTACATTATTTGAAAAACCTTCTGCAAACGATATCAATAATAATCAATTCTAACCAGTGTGTCGCTTCAGAGTTGAATCTATTGTTTTAATCTCTTCTCTACTGGCTCTCTACTTCTGAAGCAATATATATATATATATATATATATATATATATATATATATATATATATATATATATATATTGGGATGTAAATTCTTTAATGAAACATTCTGCATTTTGGTCGACTGTTGATTTATTCTCTGGATTATGTTGAAGACAAACAGTTGACGGTTATGGAATTTATTATTCCTTTTAATTGTAAACCAACTGCCTATATTCCAATTATAGATTTTTTTAAGGCTCTACAATTTACCACAGAGTTCTGGTGGATAGGCACATCTGGTCCATAAACATATTAACCTCATGGCTAATGTGAACCATCTTGCTTGATTTAGAGACCCAATGTTCCAGCAACAAATCTAAGGTTCACTTTCCCCAGGGAAATTCCTGCAGCATATTCTAAGAGCAGTCTCTAGTAACCACTTAAATCTTCCATTACCTCTGCAATAAGGTATAAGTTATCTAAACGGCCATTGATAGTGTTAAATTCTACCTGGGGCACATACTGGCGCAATCATTTCCACAAAGTCTCCCAAGAGAACCAGTAAAAGCAGTAGTTCCATCAATGTACTTAAAAAAACACCTCTAAATGGAAGTTGATTTTGATTAAGTGAACAGCCAATGGTATTGTTATGGCACCTTACCCATAATAACATCATGGACTATTCCATACGTAATAAATACTGCGCCTCAAGAGGAAGCAGGGAGTTCCGTCTGAAGTCTAGAGTTCAGCCTGAAGTCTGGAGTGAAGTCTGTCAGGAGTGTGTCAGTCAGTCAGAGCGAGCGAGTCAGTCAGTTGAGTCAGAGGCAGTGCGAAACAGAGTCGCGTTCAGACAATTACTACTAAACCTGATTGTTCGTACTAACACTTTCTACTTCTCTGTATATATTCATGTTTGTAATATATCTGTGTTATTCCATATCCGTATTCGAGTTCTTCTTTATTGGTTCTACCTTGGACTATCACCGTGGGACAAGGAACCGGACCATAATAGGTATACAACATTATCTTAATTTTTTTTTCTTCGGATCTGTAACATGCCCTGCTTCACAACTAGTATTTATACTGGTATTACCCACATGAACTATCTTAATGAATTCTTCGCTGTTGAATTCTTCTAAAACAGCAGCAACATCCTCTGCTAGAACGACAGATGCACCAATGTTAGGGATAACTCTGTGGGTGAGATATCTATTTTCTGTTTCCATCTTTGGTGAAAGTCAAGTGGTCCTTTGGTTTTTCTTAATTTTTACTCAGGTTTTCCTCTGTAATCTCTTTGTATTGAAAAGTGTCCTTATCAACTCTTCAGTTAACTCGAATTCAGATGATGCTTTCACGGTTCTGAGCATGATTCTTATAGATGGTTAATATCACTCGAGCCTTTTCCCAGTCTACTTTTGACTTATCAATGATAATGTCCTTTAAGTTAAAGCCTTAGATGAAGAAAGCTCATATCTTTTAAGTCTAATAAAAAGGCATTAGCAAGCCATAACCAGGGTTGGAAGATACATCATCCTTAATAAATTCCATGACATATCTAAAGACTGTAAGTTCTCTTAGACGGTTTCCCTGACTCAAAACTTTCATCTGTTGTTTCTTCACTCGAGGACATTGGTGGGAAAATATCCGATGTAGCGGCAACATGTGTAGAATTTTGTTGTTGATATTTTTCAATCTGTTTGTCTAATGTCTCTTCTTCAGTTGCACGTTATATATATATATATATATATATATATATATATATATATATATATATATATATATATATATATATATATGTATGCCTGTTCATATCTATCTACCAATTTATGTCAATCTGTTCTTATCTATCAATGTATGTCAGCCTGCTTATCTATCTATCTATCTATCTAATCTATCTATCTATCTATCTATCTATCTATCTATCTATCTATCTATCTACAGTATACATCTTTGTCAATACTTTCAAGTTGGAAACTGACTTTTAGTCCAGTTTTCTTTCTGAGCTTTTAAATATTCCGTTTCTCCTATGGGGAACCTGAAATTTATATAAGTTTAAAAACATATCTAGTATACATGATAAACATGAAGGAAAATATCACATTATCATTTACCACAGAAGAGAAGATTAACAGAAGTAAATTTATATTTTGAATTATTTTTAATTTTGAAAATCACATGAACTAGTTCAAAATTAATCGAAGAAAAAAAAAAGAAAAGAAAATCAAGCATAGAATTAACATTAACTCCTTGTGAGGAGAACAAGTGCAAACATTATCCCGTTTTAATAAAATTTCAATGATAAATTTTAAATAAGAAAAATGCAAAGAAAGAAACAGTATTACTTAACCAAATGGAAATAGAGTTTCTCCCAAGGAAATAAACAAACACAACGTTTTAAATAAACGCCAGTCACTTCGAAAATTATGTAGATTAAACAAAATGTTTACTTTCTTTTTCAAATAATTAAGTCTATGTACATCTACAAAAACACCATACCTAAGATAAGGAATTTTTAAAAATGAAAAATCTTTCTTGAAGCTTTTATTTTAGTTTTAATTTCAAGCTAATAGATTAAATTTAATATTTCCAATAAGAAAAATACTTTGCTGTATTTCAAAAACTATTTTACATTGACTGCAAGGAGTTGTGTTTTTTTTCTTTTCTAAAATAGCTGATTAGCACCCTTTTTTTTAAAATTGTCTTTCACCGCAAAGTAATTAATTCTCTTTATTAAAAAATCTTCCAAAAATAAAATATACTTTTCTGAAACTTTATTTGAGGAATATTCGCTGCTTTAAACTATAATTAATCTGATTTGATACTTTATTTAGTTTAAGTTTAAAATATCCCAGCATCAAATGACTTTATTGCACTAAAAACCGACTGAAACTTGTACAATTGTATATTTGTAAAATTTGTCATTGTTATGAAGTAGAGTAGAATAGACGTTGTCGGCTCAACAGATGATTGCTTGACTGGCATTCGCAGTGGCGTCTTGCCTTTACCTTATTTACATACAATACTACACCTCCCTGAACCAAAATGGCCTGATGCCTTTTGCACTTCTTATTATTCATGGGGATCTACACTGTCTTTCTTGGTGTCTATCTTGATTTCTTCTTATAGGTGACCAAAGGTCTCAGTTCTTTTTTCCTCTTCTGATTCCTCATCAGTTTTCTGGTTATTAACATCCATAAATTTTTCAATTTCATTACTGGATTCATTAGTCCCCTCCTCCCGTTCATGTTCTTCACCTTCAGATTCTTCGTTCATTTCTATATAATCGGGTTCTCTGCTGTTCCTGAATTGATTTGCATAGGACAGTACATTTTGTACATTTTTCCTTAGTATTGCTGTGTTGTGTCCTTTCTGTACTATAAAGCTCGGCTTCTCTGGATTAGATTTTCTTTTTATACCATACACTTTCACTAGTTGAAAATGACATTATTATATGATATGAGGACGGTTAGTTGTGAAGTAATGTGTTTCAGTGGCGGCAGTCATGATGAGCGTAGCAAGTCACTTCGAAACGCCGAGAAATGGACTAGGCTGATGTTTTTCTGTCAATATCATCGCTTCCTCTAGCTGTACATAAAATTATACAACTATGCAAACTAATCACTAACCACTGTTTCTTTTCTTTCAATGAAAATTTCTATAAAATTGGGCTTACCTATGGGGGTCAGCTATCAGTTGTGTCCTTGTTTGAGTCCTACACATTTAAACACATGATACCTAAAAACTCCACATACCTCAAATAAATAGATAACGTTCTTTTAATATATCCTCACAATAGAAATCTAATACATGCAATAAATAAGCTTAATAATGTAGAGCCTATCAGTGAATTTACATATGAATTTGAAACAGACAAATCTCTACCTTTCCTCGACATCTTATTAATACGTAACAATAACAAATTAGGTTTTAGAGTGTGCCGCAAACCCACTTATAAAAATGATCTAATCAATTTATATTTCCACCGCAGCCAAAACATAAAATCATGACTTATCATAATATTCTACGCCAGAACCCTTAGAATATGTATCCCAGAAAAACTAGGTTAACAGCAGAAATACTTTGAAAAAAAAAACATTTAGACTTCTTCACTACCGACATCATTTTATCTTCAAGTAGAAAACGAGGACACAAAGTTCGCAAATCTAAAAAAAAATGAAAAACCGCCGATTGCACTTCTAACATCAACAACACAAAATCCATAATCTTACCCTCTAAAACTCTATCTACAGAATTTAAAAATAAATTTTTTTATTCACAACACTAGGATCTTCACAAGTACCTCGGAGATATAATTAGGAAGAAAAATAAATCCAATGACGGGAAATATCAAAGAAAGTACGTGCAATCTAGAAACATTTACATTGGCGAGATATCTCGATATATATATATATGATAAAAAATAGTTTTAATAATATTTGATAAAATATAGGTTTTAAGGTAGGCTATATTTATGGGTTAAAGTGCTCAATATAAGGGATAGAACTTATGTAAATATAAAACTAGATATTGAAATCAGCACCTAGCAGGTAACAGTTGTCACGCTCTCTCTCTCTCTCTCTCTCTCTCTGTATATATATATATATATATGTGTGTGTGTGTGTGTGTGTGTGTGTGTGTGTGTCAGTGGCGATTCCGGTGGTCGGGCTTTTCGGGTTTAGCCCGAGTAAGTCAACATTCAAGTACATCTATTTCAAAGCAACAAAGATTTTTCGAGGTGCATTGATTTCATTCTTGACTTCGGCTGGATCCAAAATTCATTGCTTTAACTCCGTGCCTCAAAATATTGACCGAAATACAATTCGTTGATAAAGAAGAAAGAAAAACAAAAACAAATAAAGAAAGGGAAAACAGAATGAAATAAAATTAACACGACTAGTCGGGCTGGTAAAGCTGAGCTCTATCAAGCTAGTGACATACCTAGTAGGCAATGTATTTCTTGCTTTATAAATAATCTTTTAAAAATCTATAATGGCTTGTATGCCCTGTTTTTCAAAGAATTTGAGAATTTTTATTTCGTTCAGCAATGGTTAGTAAACATTTTTATTGAAAACTTTTTGTTAACGGATAGACATGCACTTTTTGCTTCACTGTGAGTTTTACACACCATTACATTGTAAATGTTATTTTTTTATTCGAAGCTTCATTGAAATTGAAGTGTAAAGAACTTAGAGATTTTTGAAAATTATATATTTCGCTTAGCGTAAAGGACTCATTTTAGTATCTAAGTTATACTAATAGTATATTTTGTTAAAGATTGCAATGAGCCAGACAAACATTGATGACCTAGAGTTGCCACTGATAACTATATATATATGTATGTATGTATGTGTGTGTGTGTGTGTGATTTTATATATATATATATATATATATATATATATATATATATATATATATATTATTTACATATTATATATGTGCGGTACTTATTGGAAAGCGTTCAATATCAGTGATAGAGCTAACATACTTAGTTATATGAATGTGAGTTTGTAACTCCAGGTTTCACGCTTTTATGATCCAGATATATATATATATATATATATATATATATATATATATATATATATATATATACAGGCTGTCCATAAAGTTCGTGTACACTTTAAAAAAATTTGTAACTTAATTTGTATTTGCAATAGAAATAATTTGTAAAAAGGATTAGAGAGAAGTAAATCTATATTTTTTTAAAGGTTTTATTGAAATTTTATTTAAGTTTCCACATGTCCTCCATCATTAGCAATATAAGGAGTAATACGATTTTGCAGTTGACCGAAAATATTTGCCAACTGATTTACAGTAATGCCTGAAATCACATTAGTTATTTTAGCGATACTTAAAACTAGGTACATTAAACTGTATAACATTTTTTACAGATTATTTTATCGCAAATACAAATAAAGTTATAAATTTTTCATAATTTTTTAAAGTGCAGACGAACTTTATGGACACCTGTGTGTGTGTGTATATATATATATATATATATATATATATATATATATATATATATATATATATATATATATATATATATTCGGGAAAAGCAGTTGAAAATGCAACTGAGTCTTTAAGAATCTTTATTTCGAGTAACTTCAACAGTTACTTTGTTCTATGATTTTCTAAAGTTAAACTGAAATGGAGAGACGTGTGGCTTTATCTTGATATGTCTCGCATCTGATGTAAGACATATTATGCCAAATCCACATCATATTCGCCATATATCATGGCAAAGTCACATGTCTCTCCATCTCAATTTAACTTTAGAGAATCATAGAATTGTGAAACCGGAAAATTTACTCCTTGTGAATATTCTTAAAAACTCTTTCTTTCTTTCTTTCTTTCTTTCTTTCTTTCTATGTATTCTCAAACTGTTCATATCTATTTGCTTCTTTCTATCTATTCATCTATCTGTGTATCCTCAGGCTGTCAATATCTTAGACTATTTCTTTCTTTCTATTTATCTATGTATCTATTCTCAGACAGTTAAGTTATCTATTCTCAAACTGTTAATATATCATACCATTTCATTCATTCTCTCTTTCTATCTATTTATTTATGTATTTATTCTCGGATTGTTAATATCTCAACATTTCTTTCTTTCCTTCTTCCATTCTGTCTATCTATGTATTCTAAATTTGCTAATATAATTTCTTTCCATCTATCTATCTATCTATCTATCTATCTATCTATCTATCTATCTATCTATCTATCTATCTATTCTCAGGCTACTAATATCTCACACTATTTCTTTCTTTTATCTAATTATCTACTCCCAGACTGTTAATATTTAGACCATGTCTTTTTTTCGCTATTTCATTCTGTCTATTTACTTACCTATCTATATATTCCCAGGCAGTTAATATGCTAGTCTTTCTTTCTTTCTTTCTTTCTTTCTTTCTTTCTTTCTTTCTATTCACAGGCTGCTAATATTTCGAACCATTTCTATCTATCTATCTATCTATCTATCTATCTATCTATCTATCTATCTATCTATCTATCTATCCTCAAATGTTACTTCACTGCAACTGTTGCTATCGTTATCTCAATCTCTCGCTCTATGTAAATCCGTCACCGAATAAAGGAGAATATAAAAAACGTCGCCGAATAATTGGGAATATAATAAACCCTTTATTTTCTTTTTTTTTTATTTTGCACAAGAATTATTTATTTTTCAACATGAACTCTTTACTTATCCTTGCCAAAAAAACTTAATTCCGAGGTGAATGTTATTCACATAAATAGAACATTATTCTGTAAGATTTTCAGATCAAATTTCAGTTAATAATACTTTGATGTATTGGTCCACTTTGGTATCTGTACACAACTCTAAGCATAATTTGAGGGACTGTCTCACTATTCCAAATTAATTAATATAAACAAATACTTCTGTTTTGATCCCCACACATCTCAATGTGAGACACACTAGGACACTCGGGCGAAAAGTAACTTCCAATGATCTATAGGATGAAACATCGTGTAAAATGGCATCGTAGCACATCTGATTGATATACGAGCAGCTTTCTTAATCTCGATTTGGAAAAGCTGCTTGGTAGAGAGCAGGCGTTTTGCAATCAGTCTAGTACAAGTAAATCCTCGTCATTTATATAGGATATTTTATTAATTAATATCATTCATAGATCACTATTCATTTTTAGACTAATAATTATTAATGGAGATAAATGGATACTAAAGTTTCCGCTAACTTAAAATAAATAAATAAATAAATCTATCTATCTATCTATCTATCTATCTATCTATCTATCTATCTATCTATGTCATTATATATATATATATACCTATCTATTTATCTATCTACTCTACTCGACTCTATGTATGTATATATTTATCGATCACACTCTATTCATACCTATCCCTGTTCATATCTATCTATCTATCTATCTATCTATCTATCTCAAATGTTTTCCTATCTATCTATCTATCTATCTATCTATCTATCTATCTATCTATCTATCTATCTATCTATCTCAATGTTTTTCTTATCTATCTATCTATCTATCTATCTATCTATCTATCTATCTATCTCAATGTTTTTCCTATCTATCTATCTATTATTCTCAAGCCTATTTTTGATCTATTGCCACATTTTCTTCAGTAACAGTTAGGTGTGAGTCAAATCAAATTTCTGGTTACCTGTCCTTTTGCAGCGCTTTTCAGTTTTTAAAAAATTAGGTAAGTATTTGTTACCAATTTCCTTTGTACAATTTCATTAAATTGTTAAGACTTCTTTCTCTTTTAGTGTATCCTGCAAAAGCCCATATTTTCTATAGTTTATGGCTTCCTGACAGCCACTCTAGAATTTTCATTCAACTTTGATCCAGCGAGCTTGACATTAATTAAGAAATCTGTTTGAAATCATCACTTTGTCGAAAGACCTAATTTCGACCCAGTTTCAGTCGTTATCCTGGAGACCTGCAGGATTTCCATCGTCTTCTCTTTTCATTATTCCTGCAAGCTGATGAGGAGAACCAATACGACCGGAAGCAAAGCTCTCCAGAAAATACTGCTACTACCATTATACGTTACTCTGGCTTAAGGAATTTTTTTAGGATTTGGAAGCAAATACCTAAAATGTTCAAATGTGTCTGGCTTACAAGGAAAAGGGTATTTCTTATAAAACAGTTCATTAGACCATTTCTGTATAAGAAGATTTTGTCTGTAGACACTGAGGTATATATACTATTGATACGTAAGTCTTTTACCCGTCCTTGTTTTAGTCGTCTATAGATTCTTTTTTTAACAATTCTAAGCAATATTCCTTATGCCACATGGATACATTTTACATGGATCATAATTTTCTCCCGATATTATCACCTACGGAGAATCCTAGTAGCAACGTTGTTTGAAAATCTCTCCAAAGATTTGGATAAAGTAACCACTCGGCTCCTGATATAGTGATATAAATTTTAATTCCCCCGTGGTAGCCGTTCGATGAAAATCTGTATATTTATCTTAACGAAATGCCGGCTATCGTGCAAGAGAAAACAGTAACAGAACGATTTGATGCAAATAAACCTTTGCCAGCAATGGCAAAATAACGCAGTGAGTAGTGAGTTTGATATAAAAACAACTGACACCAACATGATTTAGAATTTATTTATATCTGAAGTGTCTTCATTTAGACATTCTATCGTTATCCAACACATTTACTTTGTATATTTCTCAAAGCGTGCTGACCTTGTGCAAATTGTTGATCACGCGAGATAACACCCTCTCTCCCAGAAAATGGAAGTGATACGAGTTTCGATTTTACACATAGGACTGTGCCCCCATGAACCACGACTACTATCCCCAAGCCGATCAGCCCAGAGCATTAGGAGCCGGTTCAAGCAAGGATATACAAGTGATAGACATTAAGAGGATTTGAGATAATTATAATTAAGTAATTCATCGAATCTTAAGAAACCTCAACAGAATGCAGAAAGCACTGGACGTCCGTTTCGTCCTATATTTCGAACTCATCAGCAGTGCGCATCCACTACCGAGAACTGAAATCCGGATGGAAGCGTTGGGAGGTCAATTGAGAAAAATCGCCTGAAGATACCGTAAGGTTGAAACCAAGATAACGTATCCAACTGATCTCCTAATTTTTATATATATATATATATATATATATATATATATATATATATATATATATATGTCCGAAAAGGGATATATTTGAACGAAGTAGCTAATGGTTTTGGCTACTACAACCAAGTAGAATATGGTAGCAGTAATCGACTGGTACGCGTCGTAGTCGCAGATAATAAGTGTAGATCAATGGCGTAGTCCAATGGGCGTCATTATAAACTTAGCTCTCAGACTAAGGCTTTTGACTGTCGTACGTAAACGTCCGTCGGTATTTATGACGGACACCAGCCAATCATATTCCAGTGAGGGTGGGGGAACACAGGTATGTATATTCCATTATATATATATATATATATATATATATATATATATATATATATATATATATATATATATATATATTATAATAAAACGAAAGAACAGTAAGATATCTAATCCGATGTTCTTATTGATATTTTTATTTTTACAAAACAGTGCTCAATGTAAATTTTCAGAGCATAAATATTATAAATTAAAATATGGTTTCTTTTCGTTATAGAGTTCTGTTTCATCTTCAAGCGAATTCCAAAATTCGCTTGAAGATGAAACAGAACTAATGCTTTTAATTAATTTATATAGTTATATTTGAATTTTTTAGCTTAATTCCTATGTAGCGAAGAAACCATATTTTAAATCAGTTATATATATATATATATATATATATATATATATATATATATATATATGTATATATATATATATATATATATATATATATATTAGGTTTTTGGTTTGGTGTTATATTCATAAAATAATTCAAATTATTTACTGGCCATTGCTTCTTTTTTTACTCATTTTATTTTGGGTGTGGTGCAGTGGATTGAGGCTCGGAATGAGAAATCTGAATGCCGAGTTCGAATTCCAGCTGAGCTCGTTACATTTACTTACGTGCCAATAACCTTGGGAAACGTATGAATACATCTATTCTCCTCTCCCAGCTATGAGTTAAATATCAGGATAGCTGTAGCCATAGTAGGCAGTCATTTTAAGATAAGAATCTACTCTGGGACCAAATCACCCAAAAGCTACTTCTGTCAGGGTTACGTGAAGATATCGACAGCAGGAAGTTGGATGTTGTTACAAACAAAGATTTGGTTTACCGATAGGAGTCGCATAAGCGGTATTCTTGCATCTCTATTCTTAAAATATTCATTTCGGTTTTTGATTTATTCAGTTTCATTCGTTATCTATGTCTTTTCAACCCTTTGTTAAAAAAAAAACAATGACATATATATTATTAATATTATGATTTTATTTCCTTTGATTTTTGGTGTGTACGCATTTCTTTCCGGGACCCAACCAGAGATATAAGACTAGAAATGGTATCATAAAATTTTCCTCTGAGCATTTTTTAGGGAAAAAAAACCTAAGATCACACACATTTTACATAGATAAAGCTCTTCATAAGGTGTGGGCTCTACTTGTGAGTACAATGTTTTGTATTTCTTTAAGGCATGGCTACCAGGGATTCCTTCAATGAGTCTACTGGAAGCTTTTCTAATCAATCCAAGGGCTCCAACTACAACTGGAATTGTTGATGTCTTCATATGCCACATTTTGAGATTTCGATTTCAAGGTCCTTGTATTTTGATAATTTTTTGAAGATCATCAAAGATACATTGCAGTCTGCAGGGATGACCATATCAATAAAAAAGGCACATTTTGTTTTTGCGGTCTTTGATCACGATGTTTGCGGGATTAGCTTTGTTCTATCTGTGTGTATTTTTGTAAAGTCCCATAAAATTGTTACAGGTCCTCTCTCCGTAACCGGGTCTGAGTGGCGTTTATATCAATTTCTTGCAGTTTCCTTTCCGTAAAAGTTGGAGATTTTCCAATGCAGATATTGGCCCAATCTGTTGTGCCGGGTTTTATATTCAGTGGGTGCCAATACCGTGCAACCTGATACAAGATGGTCAATTGTTTCTAAATATTTATCCCAGAATCTGAATTATGCATAAAACATAATTTTTGAGTATGTGCTTGGTAATTTCTAGTTAGCAAATATTGGTCCTGTGTAGCAAGATTAAAACCTTTCGTTTCAGCTTTTAACCCCGCGTTACGTATTATTATTATTATTATTATTATTATTATTATTATTATTTTCTTTGATTTCTGGCGTTTACACATTTCTTTCCGGGTCCCGCCCAGGGACCT